GGTTTTAGTTGCGATGATGCAATGAAAAGCTGATTTAGTTCTATATCCTGATATGATTAATGGACAGGACTTTTGGAATATGCTAAAGGAATATAATGGCAATTTTGAGCTCATAAAGTCTAACACATTTGTAAGGTTGTAAGGACATATATATTTGTGACCAGTGGGAGATTGTTAGCAAATTTTTGGTCATGTATATATATGATACATAATTTAAATGTGTTAGGGTCATTATTTATTAAGCCAAATAATAAAGTGATCTAACTAAATTAAAGTTTTGGCTAAAGGCATATGTCATGAAAATAAAATTGTGTAGAGATCATAGAGTAATTTCTAATTTGATGAGGGGTCAAATTGGAAATACTAAAACTTAAGTAATTAACCTAATTCTGGTTATTTAAAGGGTCATGGTCTTTTTCTGGGCGCACACACACAGAACGTAAGTTTCAGTCCCGTTCTTTTCTTTTTATCCCCATCAAGAGAGAAAATCCAAAGGGAAAATACAGGTGCTCTCCAGGTAGAAGACCATAAGATCAAAAGTGCTCTACAAAGGATATCATCATTATGACTAATTTAGGTACGTTTTCACATTCAGTTTACAACATGTTTATGAGTATGAGATTATATTTATATTTGATCGTTAGAATGAAGTTCATAATTAATTACAGTTTACCTATCAAGGAATATCAAGACTGAGTTTGTTAACTCAAGTGATCAGTTAACATATATTTTTACTAAGTCTTTACGGGGGCTTAGAATTGATTATATTTGTAACAAGTTTGACACATACGATTTGTATGTTTCAGCTTGAGGGGGAGTGTTAGATATTGTGTAGATATAGTTTGATATTGTTAGATATTGTTAACCACAATATCAAACTATATCTTCTGTTTATTCTATTTATTTTCGGTTACTCTTTTAGTTATATCTCTCTATTATAAATAGATTACCCTATATGTGATTTATACATAAGGGAGATTAATTTCAAACCCTATTTCCTTTATATTCAACCAACAAAAAGATGAAGGGGTGGGAGTTGACCTTAAAAGGATTTTTTCTTACAAAATGATTTGGTTATGAAAAAAAGAAAACATATGCTGAGGTAGAAGACAAAATGTTTGAAGGTACAAGGAAAGAACACGGTTTTAGGTTTCATTGGTGATGACATAACATACATACATTAATGGTGTTCCCTGCTCTCACTTTCCACAAAATAACCTGGCAGTTTCATGGTGGAAATTTTGCAGCCCCATCATGATCCCGTGTTATCCTTGTTCACTTCGTACCGTTTATTTGATACTCATTAAAAACAAAACAACGTTCTTCAACTATTTTGCCTCTCATTTTCAAATCATATCAAGCTTCCTTTGAATTCCATATTTCTTTCATATCTTGGATCTTTTGCCTGCGTCACGAAAATCAAAGCTCCATCACTGTCAAACTGCAGAAAGGTTTCACTTCTTCCCTTCGTTACGCATGTAATTTACATGTAAGAACGTGGATCATTCGTTTAAACCCAACCTTTTTTTTTTCATTTGCCATTGTTGTACTGTCAATATCATATCTTCCCCACATAATAATATTTATCTTAAAATATGAGTTAATTAAAATTTAACTTCTACAACTATCTAATCCATTCAATATGGTATTTATCGGAAATTAGTTATTTTTAAATAATTTTTCTTAATTATATATGTTTCGTGAAATAATGAATATATCAAATATCATAAATTTTAATTAAGATTTATTTTATTTAAAATTTTTTATTTATTACGATTTTATCTTTAAAATATATTAAAATAAAGAGAAATTAAATTTATGAATTCAAGTTTAGATATATTTTTAACAATTTAAAATTGACATAAATTTTCGTTAATTTTTATTAAAATAATATACATTTATAAGTATTTAATCGGTGTCATTAAAACCGTATATATTTATAAGTTTTATGGGTAAGAGTTTATATAAATAATAATTTATATATTTTTTATTTTAATAAATTAAAATATTTTAAAAAAATAAAACTATAACATACTATAATTTAAATCGAAAAGTATCTCTAATATAATAATGAATTTAAGGATAAACAATTATCATTATATCAGGGTTTAAGAAAAATATTCTTCTAATTTACACATTAAATGTATTTTTTTATCATTGATTAAATAAAATGTGATTATTAATGTAATAATTAATAAAATACTTTTCTTGAAAGCGTGAGAGTAAACACGTAACCGTGTATGTTAAATAGAGTACCAATTGGCACAATTAACTAAGTATGATAGAATCTACTTTCTTTTAGTATATTTTATATTTTGTTTGCTTATATGAAAGAAAATGGTCCACGTTCTCTTATAAAAAATAGGAACTAAATATTTAACTTTCTATGCAATCATTAATTTTAAAGTGGGAACGCGTTTACAAGAAAAAAAAAAAAAAAGAGTGGAATCGTTGGTTACCAACCACAAAACCAAACAAACGGTTGACTTGGCTGCTACACTGTTCTTCATACTCTGTTTTCAGAAACACAATAGAAATTAATAGTTAGAACAATAATGTGTCAACTAATTAAAATTTACTTTATACCAGAAATAAGACTTATATCTTTTAACACAATTAATTAGGATTTAAATCAAAATTTCTCGACCATTTAAATCATTATTTTGTAATGAATAATTATTGTAAAAAGAATTTTTATAATGGTTATTTTATATTTTTTTATGTATTTTTATATTTTTTATACTGGTTATTAGTTTTATTTATTATATCAATTTTTAATATAATCATGTCATTTTTAATATTATTTTATTCTTATAAATATTATACTATGTAATGTAATATTATTTATCTCTTAATTTTTTTACTATTACACTAAATAAAATCAAACCCTATCTGGATTTAAAATTACTACTTGTATATTCGGTACTTATAAATTATCTTTTAATTAAGAAAATTTATTGAGATGAAAAGAAAGAAATATTTATTTATTCTTTTTAATTATTTAATTAAACCAATGATTGGTTATTATAATCTATAATAACAACTATCTTAAGAAAAGTTAATTTTTTTAAAATAGTGTGAGATATCACATTGTTAAAAAAACCCTAAATGCTATTGAAATAAAGAATTGTTTTTACAATATATCGGATATTCTTTTCAAAGACTTCATAGTGAATTTTAAAAATTAAACATAAATAATATCTATAATAAAAAATTAAACATAAAACATAAAAAAAAAATTTGCATTAACAATCATTATTTATAAAAAAATAATATAAAAATATTATAATATATCATAAATTACAATACTGTATAAATTAAATCATAAAATATAAAGTAATAAAGACATATTTTGTCAAACAATATCGTAGAAATCACCGTAATAATAACAAAAATTAAGATAGAATATAAAAAAAACATAAATAATAATAAAAAAAGAACATTTGATGCACGTTGTCACTTTCAAAAAAGAAAATCATTAGAAATTATATAAATATAACTTAATTAAGGGTCTAACTTTGAAACTTATTTGTGCAAATAAAATCTATACTATCTATTTGTAAAGAAAATGTAATGTAATATCATTTTAAGAGACAACATTGCAAAAATAAATAAACATGCTAACAAAATCATTTGACTTGTTTTTACGGGTACTCTTTTGTTCCTGGCACTTGCAGAATCATTTTTCATAGCAGAAATTTTGCATCTTGAATCTTGATCATAAAATATTCGAAGTAAAAAAGATACTGTGTTTTTTTTTTTTTTTTTCTATTGAGTCAGAGTCATTGAATACAAATACGTGTACCACCCAATAAAACACCTTTTTCAACTACCAATCCCTCACACTTTATTTCAATATCTAATACTAATGAGTAAGGGGAGAGTGTGGAACAAAATACTGTAAAATGGATAAGTAGATTAATTTAAATGGAGGAAGAATTTCATTTTATTAATTCAACATTTTATAATAGAATAAATAAGCCTACTTTATTATTTAATAATTAACATAAAAACCACTTCATCATCCCATAATAATAATAATAATAATAAATATATTGATAACAAAGTGTTACACATTACACCAACTCTTTACGTCAGTTTCCAATAATAGTATAAAGAAAAAATATAATAAATGTAAAAGAATATCAATAGATAAAATATTGGAATAGTTTAAAATATGAGATGCAACCAAGAATGTTCAACCCTTTTTCCGCGTTGTTGCTCACTCTATCAGACGTCTTGTGGACCTGTATTATCACCCATCTAAGGGGGTTTGAGATGAGGCCAATGTGGGACATTCTAATTATTTGAAGTGGTCAATAATTCAATCAGCATATTCATGGATAACTCTTTTATCACCTTTTTTTTTTCTTCTCTCACCATGGTTCTAATTGATATCATGAAACCATAATCTTAATTCTGTGGGCTCCACCAATGTAGAAAACTTACATGTTTTTTGGGGCAGTCAAATTTTCCTCTTTTTCCTTCTCTTTTCTCACCCTTAAATCCCCCCCTTCCTCTCACCTTCTTTGTTAAGAAAGCCTCCTTTCTTTCCTATTTGATTCACACTTTCACACTCTGTATCACCAATCCCTTATATCCCCCTCCGCTAAGAAGAACATAACTCGCCACTTCACCAACAATTTCCCCTTCCAATTACCCTCCATATTCTCTACTTTTTGTGGTTTTTCTGGAAGATTGATCCATTTGGCATTTCATCATACTGCACCACTTGGCATAGTCCGCTTGGATAATTACCCAACGTATAGTTTTCAGATTCCTTGTTCTTCATGAGCTAAGAGTTTATCAGTCCTCCGTTTATAGATATATCTTCCTTCCCCTACACATTTTTCTTTACAAAGTGTTTCTACGATCTTCTGCAATTTTTGCATGGCCAATGCTAGATAATCAATATTTTATAGCCTAAGAAAATCCTTAGTTGCAACTCAAATTCAAAGTGCAAACCTTAGTTTCCTGTTGTTATTGGTTCTTCTTCACAAATGGAAGAGAGTTTGAAGTGTGAGCAAGTTGGTCTCATCGATGAGTTAATTCTAGGGAAGGAGCTAGCAAAGAAGCTTTGTGACCATCTACTCCCATCATCGTCCTCAACCTCCTCATCTCATGAAACAAATGAAGTCTTAATTGAGAAAATAATTTCCACCTATGAGAAGGCAATTGCCATGCTGAATTGTAAGGCTAATGTAGGAGAAAGTAAGGCCAAGAATGGCAGCAAGAGAGATTCCCATTGCTCGTTAACAAATGGTAGCCCCAGAAGTGAGGTTATGGAGCCTGAGTTTGAGCACAAAAATGTCTCTAAGAAAAGGTAATGTCAAAAGTTCTTTTTACAAATTATTGTTTATTTTAGACTAGGGGTGAAAAAGTCCATGGTCTGATTTCTGATTTCAATTTGGGGTTCTTTGAAATGATGGAATTCAGAAAGACCATGCCAAGGTGGACAGAGCAAGTGAAGTTGTGCTTGGGAACAGCTGAAGGATCTCTGGAAGATGGCTACAGCTGGAGAAAATATGGGCAGAAGGATATTCTTGGAGCTAAGTTTCCAAGGTAAATTTTTTGTTTTTTTCTTCAAACTTGCATAAAATTTGAGTTTTTTTACCGTAAGGCAAATATGAAGAATTTGGCCTTGAATATGACAGAAATTAGAGAAAGGTTTTGATATACTATTATTTTAATTAGTGCCACAGGCCAAAGTAGGTAAAATATCATTGGCATGTTAACCAATGGAGTCTAAAAAGGAAATAAACAACCAAACAAAATTTAGCACGCCTAGGCTAAATAATGTTCCTCGTTGTAACGTTTTGACGTTTCAGCCACATAATGAATAGGACAAAGTGCTTTTAAAAAGACAATGAAAACTTATCCAAAGGACAACATTACCTAGATTGATTTCACTACAATAGCAGCTTTTTTAATAAATGCACAGTGTCATTGCTGAGGCTGCAGCATGTGTCGTTCAAGATACAAGTGATCCATTGGTACATTAGAAAAATCTGACAATCTTATCAAGTTGCTGAGCTTCTGGAGTTATGATGGTCTTAAAAGATTTGTCAGCTCATGCTCCTATTTCATTTAGCATTAAAGACATTACTCAAGCAAGCTTACGATAGGGGCAGAAAAAAAACATGACCTTTTAGCACCCTTTCCTTTAATTTTTTTGGGCAAACAGTATTATTAGTCTTTAAAGCTACTACTAAAATGACCTCAAAAGCAGTTCAATAGTGTTAGTTTCGACTTTCCCTATATCATCAGCATACAGAAAAGAAAAGGGAATTGTGTAATGCTAATTATTCCAAAATACTGAAGCATTTTTTGCATTGAGGCAATCCTTGGTCATGTTTTTCTGACAAACAGTGGTTTGCATTGCAGGGGATATTACAGATGCACATATAGAAACATTCAAGGATGTCTGGCCACTAAGCAATTGCAAAAGTCAGATGAAGACCCAATGATGTATGAGATAACCTACATAGGAAGACACACGTGCACCCAAGTAAATCACTTGAACAAGGCAGTGGTACCCCCATCAAAAACCAAGATGTGCATTGGAGAAAACAAGCACCAAACCCATCAAAAGAATCAACCACAAGAAGAGAAAATAGAGCAACCCCCAGAGACAATTTTTTCCTTTGGATCACCAGCTCTTGAAGTTAAAGTAGAGGGCTTGGACCACATGGAGGACATATTCCCTTCATTTTGCTTCTCTTCTCCATCAATAGGGTCTGAAAACGAGGACAACAACAACATATTCTCTTACACCATGATTGAGAACAACTTAATGGAAAGCTTCATATCTCCACCAACTTCAGAATCAAACATGTTCTGTCACTGGGGGAGCACTGGACTAGGCCAAAGTGTGCATAGCTCCCCGTCTGATATCACTGATATAGTTTCAACATCAACTTCAGTCACCACTTCACCAATAATGGACCTTGATTTCCTCCTTGATAAGATCGATTTCGACATAGGTTTCCCTATAAACACCACAGAACTTTGCACTTGATCAATTGTCCCACAAGTTAACAGCATGCATGTGGATTAACAGTGAGTTTTGTAGATCCCGACTAGCATCATAACCGAGGGAAGGAAGTCTATTGTAATAATAAAGACAATGAATTTTTCCTCTCATACCAGTTAAGAGAGTTTTCATGTACTTAGGCTGCAATGTGAAAATAGTTTGTAGGTTGTAGCTTTAGTTTTTTGTGGTTTCTCTCTTCAGTTGTAGCATAATCGAGTATCTTCTTCTGGCTCAAACAGCCAAAAATTATGAAATAAACTAATTTTTACCTCCATATTTTTACTCTCTTAAATCATGATCAACATTTTTCACAATATCAAGGATCACAAGTAAAGCACATCTGGAACAGCAATTTTAAATTTTAATATGATCAATGAACTATTTCACCTAGTAAAAGACAGAATTATGACCAGTGGCCTAGTAGTTATTGACAGATGTTTAGATACTTCCAACATTAGGCGTGCTTTGAGGAAAAACATCTCCATGTTGTTTCTTCATGAGGATTGGGACCACAACCATCATTCATTAAGTGACAACCCTCCTCTTATATAACTCTAAAAGGCTAAAGGAATCATAATTCCTCACAAGGATACAACTACATAAGCATAAATTGAATTTGTATGCATCTGGGCATAAATCTTCATCCGTGGTTTGGAGTATTTGTGGATTGTCTTAATTACTAACCAACCATACTTCTTTGAATCCTATAGTTCGATATCTGTTAACCTGGTGGATAAGCATTAACCTTATTCTCACTTTGCGTGGCACAGGGACAATCCACAAACATAAAAGTTATGAAACATATGAAAATAACATGCCAACCTTGACCACATCAAACATAAACAAATTAAAAAAAATAAAAATAAAAATCGATTTGACTCCAGTCACACTAACTATTTGGTACATGATTTTTGTCTGTGTCTCTGGGGAATATGACTGGAATGAAAGAACTAGTGCAAATCTCTATTATCTTGGTACCAAACACAATTATTCAAATGTTAATTCAGAGTCTGAGAGGGTTCATTAGTGGAAATTTTTGCACAGAAGATAACCCTCTTTTTCTGTGAACCGTTGGTTCTTTTGCAAAGGTCAATGTAAAAGTAATACTATTCAACCCAATGAAATACATGAAAGCATCATCAAAACCGTTTTCTTTCTTTCCCATTAAATAAAGTCGTAATCTTTCCAGTTTTTTCTCATTTTCAATCTCACTTCCAAGTGCTTTCAACAGCATGTTTTCTTTATATATAGCCAGTTACCAGCTGTTAATTTCGTCCACGTTTTGCAAATGAAAAAGGAATATCAAACACTGATGGCTTAGAATATGTTCGAGAATTCCAAAAAAAAAAATTTCAGGAAAATATTAAAATGAAATTATTTTTAATTAAGTTAAAATTATTTATATATAAATTAATTTCAACTTTATAAAAAGTGCTTACTTAAAATTTGTTCCAGATCAATTTGATTAACCTAATTTTTATACCCAATTCCGGACACTGTGTATGCTCTACATTGTCTTTATTTGATCATCAAATAATTACTTTAAAATTTATTTTGTAAACCATATTTTTTTGTGTCATATTCTGATTAGTTTTCTCCAAGATTTCTGTGGTCTTCTGCAAAAATATGGAGATGATTTGAAATCCATGAGGAATTAATTGTGCCTGCTTCTTTACTTTTGCTACGATGTCTACAAGGATAACTCTCCGAATTCCTTACAACCATGATTTTGTGAGATTCATCGGTTTTTTCTCAGACTACCTATCAAACATTTCTAGTGAAGTTTTTAATCATATTCTTTTCTTTCTTTAATAAAACTCGAATTTATACATTATTCAATTAAATAAAATCTAATATCAATTTAACCAATAATATATTAGCATTATGGGATAAGACTTGCCTTTAGCCTAGGAATAATATGATGCTGCTACATAAAATAAATACAAATAATAAGTATAATTTCATGTACAAATTATTATTATATCATAAATAATAAAAAATAAGTTATATATATATATATATATATATATATATATATTAACCTTATTAATAAAAACAAATAATAATAATAATAATAATAATAATAATAATAATAATAATAATAATAATAATAATACACATTTTATTTCGCGCCTACATACGTGTAAAATGTCAAAAATGTTCTTCGGGTTTTTTTGTTCTCGTGCCACACCTTCTTACTAACATTTACACCTTTGTTTACTTTTAAGGTTAGAAATTTGTTATTTATGTTTCAAATTATATATTATGTATCTAAAAATCCTATTTTATTTGTATTTGTACTATTCTGATTAATCTAAAATATATTTTTGAAAAACATAATTTGAAAATGAGTTTTGAATATGTTAATTTAGAACTTATTTCTTGATTTATTTTTTGAAAATATATTCCAAATTCAACCATCCAAAACTCATTTTTGAATTATATATTCTAAAAATATATTCTAAAAAAAACACAATTTAAAAAGAAATTATGGATTTTACTCGATTTTTTTTCTATTTGTTTCTTAATTATGGTAAATCTATCCAAGAAAATAGATCAGACTCAGAAAATGGATGAGATATCTGCACACAACTTTATGTATATGCATCCAAGTGAAAATTTTGTAGTTTCTCTTGTTTCTTCACTTTTAGATGTTTCAAACTATTACTCTTAGAGTCATTTTATGATCACTGTCTTAAATTCAAAGAATAAAATGGAATTCATTTTCGGAACCACACCTCAACCTAACCAAAACGATCCCACCTATATAGTCTGGTATAGATGTAACAGTATGGTGGTTTCTTGGATTGTCCATTTTGTTTCCCTCTCAATCCGGTAGAGTATTATCTAAATGAATCAAGCCATTGAGATATGGAACAATCTCAAAAATCGCTTTTTTTAAGGGGATCGTTGTCGCATGTCTACTCTACAAATGGAGGTTGCTACTCTACATCAAGGGAATCTCTTGATTTCTGATTATTTTATGAAGCTAAGAGTCACATGGGATGAACTTGAGAACTTTCAGCCAAATCCTGTGTCCACGTGTAATGCAAAATGTACTTGTAATTTTACCGTCATTTTAGCTCAGAGCAAATTAGAAGATGGTGCAGTGTAGTTCTTGGGAGGATTGAATGATTATTTCAGTAATATCAAATCTCATGTTTTGCTGATAGAGCCAATGCTAATAGCCCAAAATTTCTCTTAAGTGGTGTAACAAGAATGTCAATTATTTGTAGAAAACATTGTTGTTGCAACTAAAAGCAATGGACAAGTTTTTTCTATCACCATGAATAATGTCTATGTTAACGCTAATGACAATAATGTCATTGGTCATTCCAATACTTGCACCTACTATAATCGAGTTGGTCACACCAAGACTACATGTTTTTGCAAACATGACTTTCCTAACCAAGATAACAAGAATACCAAGAATTCTAGCTCTATAAAATTATACACGCATTGTAATAGGACTAGTCATACCATTGAAGTTTGTTATAAAAAGCATGGGTACCCACCAAGTCATAAACTCTATACTAGAAAATAAGTGCACAATGTCATGACTTCAGATGCTCCCAACAATGATAAGGACAATCACAACATTGAAGGAATTTGGATAACACGTCAACAATATCAAGCTCTTGCAAGAATCTTTAAAGTTATGTCTGCTGACAACTCTCAAGCGCATATAAATCAAATCAGAACCATCTTTGCACATCCGTCAAGCATTGGTAATATTCACTCTACTCTGAAATCTCAAATTTTTCATTAGAATTGGATCCTTGATTTAGGAGCCACAGATCACATATGTGCATTATTGAATAATTTCTCATCCTATAAGCCTATTCAACCTATTAACATTAGTCTTCCTAATGAAAACATTGTTACTGCCATTTATGTTGGAACTATTGTTTTCAATAATAAATTTCAGCTCTATAATGTTTTATATGTTCCTCAATTTTCTTTTAATCTTATTTATGTATCTAAGGTTATATCTTCCTTTAATTGTGAAAACTTTTTCTTCCTTTGGTTGTGTCATAATGGACGTGAAAATTAAACAGAAGATTGGTTTGATTAGATTACAAGCTGGATTATATGTTCTTAGTAATTCTAATTTTGGTCTTTTGCATGATAACTTCCTTTGTGTAGTTAATATTGTCAATCTTTGACACTCACGCCTAGGATATCCTCCCAATAATAAACTGAATGTTTTACACACTAAGTGTTCATATATAGTTGTTGATCTTGACTATGTATCTGATGTTTGTCACAAAGCCAGACAAAAGAGGCTTCTTTTCTCTCACAGCATGTCTAAAACAAATAAAATTTTTGATCTTATTCATATGAATATATGGGGACTGTGTAGTGCTTCCATGAATGGTTTTAGATATTTTTTTACTATTGTTGATGATTATTCTCGCTTTACTTGTCTTATTCTTATGTATGATAAATAAGTTGTTAGGAGACATATTACTGATTTTGTTAACCATATTGAAACTTAATTTGAAACTACTATTAAAACTATTCGCACTAATAATGGACTTGAGTTTTTTATGCGTGAATTGTATTCCAATAAAGGCATCATTCATCAAACTACTTATATGAGTATTCCTGAACAAAATGATACTATTGAGCGCAAACACCAACATATACTTAATGTCACATGTGCCTTACTGTTTCAAGCACATCTTCCTACTATTTTTTGGTGTTTTGTTGCTTAACATGCAATATTTTTAATTAATAACATTGTTTAGTGTCTTATTGAATAACAACACTCTTTATGTGATCTTTCATTTTAGAAGTTTTTAGCTGTATTACTCTAATACTCTTACTTCTCACATATAAAAGCTTGATGAAAGAGTTGTCCCTAGGATGTTTCTTAGCTTCAAACCCGCCACTAAAGGTTATCTCTTTCTCAACCTTAACAATCACATAGTTGATATACCTCACAATATTTTATTTCATGAATAATGCTTTCCTTTTCACACTAATTCCACACAACACTAATTCTGACTCTCTTCCTCTCCCCCCTTCCTCATCATTATAACCATGATTATGACAACTTCACTCTACTTGTTATATACAATACCACTGATATTGATGTTGCTAATAACACGGTTGAAAATATTATTATTTATGGCTCTGATACCATCTTAGCATTTTCATTGATAGCCAAGAGAGAACAAAGATCACCACTGCAAGCCAAAGAAAATAGAAACAGGAAAAAAAAGAAAGAAAAGAGAAGAGGAAAGGGAAGCCAATAAAGAGAAAAAAAAAAGTTAAGAAAACTTTTCATTATACTATCTTGATAATAAAAACATATATATATATAAATATATCACAAAAATACTAGAATGCAAAAGAAACTAAAAATAAATAAATAAACTCAACAAACAATAATATTATCAAATCCTAAAAATATTTTCACAAAATACAATCTAAAAATATATTATAGAAAATACAATTTAGAAATCATCTTCAATCTTGTTCCATAAATTTTTTAGAATCAAATTTTTAGAATATATTTCCAGAAAATATAATCCGAAAATATGTTATGAAAAAATAATTCTTAACTCATTTTATTTTTATTTTATTTTTTTGAAAGTTTTTTAGAAAATATAATCCAAAAATCATTTATGAAACACGATTTAAAACTTATTTTTGAATTTTATTTTCCATAAATATATTTTATAAAAAAAAATGAACATGAGCTTTCCAGAATCTATTTAGGGTTCTCTCCTAGTGGCCCAACGTAGCTTGCTTGGAAGCTCCCAATAGGCATATGAGATAGAAGGTAAAAATATCAGATTAAGCCTTGAATTAACAATTTGATGAGGTAGAAAAATTTCAATTGTATACAAAATTAAATCAAATAATCGTTCACTTATGCAGAAATTAAGTTATATGTTAATGATGTAGTTGTATTTTTTAAATGAAAGACAAATATAAAAAAACAGAAATTATTTTCAATTTTTTTAACTAACTTATTAAAATCATGGTAAGTTTCATGGAACAAAATAAAAAGCATGATCTTTATTTTTGGGGCCACATAGGTAGGGCTTATATTGCTCATTTCGTATCATTTGTGAAAAGAGGAATCTGAAAGTGAGAATTTGAGGAAGAAGAAGATGATCTATCGGAAATGGAGTCTCCTAACCGGTCCTGTCACCATCCTTGGTGGCGTAGTCGCCGCCATTGCCGCTGCAAACGTCATTTTCGTCAAGAATGTAATTTCCTTTCTTTCTCTCTCCAAATCCCATCTTCCCCTTTCGACACTTAATTCACCCTTTCTAGATTTGTTCCAAAGGATCGACCTTGATTGAATTTTCTGGATTTGGGTGCCCATTTTTTGACTGGGTTTCCGGTAATTTAATGATATTCTTGCAAGCTTTAGAGATTTGCTTCTGCAACCTCGCCAGTCTCTGGTTTTCGATATTCATTGAATTCGTTTTTTTTTTAATGGAAATGAAATTCGTATCTTTTTAAATCTTAGTTGCTTCGAATGATTGGATTATGGAAATTAATTTGTTTGTTACTGATCATGAAGATTAGGGATTCCTCCAAAGGAAAATAATTGCAAAAAAATCCTGTTATTGAGCTTGATAATGGGGTTTGTGTGGTGTCCCCTGTTTCTTACTGATTGATTTACAGCTAGTAGTGAGGTGATTAATGGGCGGAAGTATCAATCAATATAGCGTCATTGTTTTGAAATTGATTATTAGGTTTCATTACATATGAAGACAAGAGAACTGGGTTTGGTTTCGTTATTGAATTTTTGGCTGAACAAACGTCAAGGAGTCCTTCCCCTTCCTTAGGTCTAGCATGTGTAGTGTCTTTTCCAAATCAATTATGTCTAGTAAAATGAAGAAGAAAGAAGTTTTACACTCAGCAAGTCTTATTTGACTTTGTTTACCGAAGAAGGGCCGTCCAATTTATAGTAACAGCCAAAACGTATCCTACTGGGTGAGATTGCTTAGATGAATCAACCAAGATTATTGAATTGTATCAAAAACCAACTTCTAAGCAATACCTATTTGTAAGAACTACTTTCTCAATGGTTTGTTTCTTCTATGTGTAGATGTTGAGTTATATCTCTAGAATCTTCTGCTGTTGCATTCTTCTGCTTGTTGTTTGAAAGAGTGAAATATATTTTGGTGATTGTAATTACTTTATTGTACTTTACAGGATCCATTCCTCAAACCAGAGGTGAAGTATGAAAATCAACCTGCTACCAAGTAGGAGAAAAGAGACAACAGAAGTTTTATATTTTGATGTCATCTAAACCCTGATTTATGAGCTATGTACACTGTTTTGCAAGACATGCTCTCTCTCTAGCTAATAAGACTTAGATTCTGAATGAAGTCTGGACTCTGGAGCATGGTTGTTTAGAACTAACTGTCCAAAGTTCTAGAAAACTGGTTCCTATTGCAGAGATCCATACTTGTCTCTTTTGTACAATGCCAACTGCAAATGTTTAATGTGGTTTCGAATCTTCCATTTCCATTTCTTTGTTTTATCTCTATCAGTTTAATGTTATCGCTTGCATTTAGGGATTATTATGGCAAAATTCACACCTTTGGCCGCTTGATGCTTACATTGACTGACTGTTATATCCCATTGATATGGCTTATAAAATTTTAGTGTAAGATTGATGTCGTGACTGGCATATGTGACGAACTTAGCTTCAAGCATAAGACGTCTTATAAATTAGAAAAGCATAGATAATACAAAAACATAGAAATGTTGTTCTTTAATGAAGCAAAATATTGAAATTGTCTTCTAAATGGATGATTTCAAGAAAAAATGGTATTGATAATATTTTTATTTATAGACAATAAAAATGATTGATAATTATTTTGTTTAAAGTAGCATGTCTAAAAGGTATGCCTTTAATTCGGATTTGTAAAATAGTTGTTGAATTTTTATCATGTTGGATAAATTTATCGACTCATTTAGTTTGACATGTATCTTACATCATACTATCCTATATTTAGGTAGAATAGCTGTATTGTTGTATTGACTATCATATCTTATAGACATAGTATCTGGACATTGCCACTGGTCTGACCGATCTTTTATTCCAAAATTGGCTGTCATTCAACAAAGTATAGTAGAATTACAGGTTGAAATTTCAGTTTGCAACATGGCAAGGCAACAACTATGGATTTTTATTGATGCCTTAAACAAAAATGTCATTTCATACATGTTTTATTTACACATATATGGGAAATGAAATTTGGACCGGTGTATGCAGCTTATTAAGCACAGCAGCTTTCAGCATTATTCAGTCCCGAGACTTAATTTCTTCATCTAAGTATATAAGAAAATAGGTATATATTCCTCACAAAAATGATATGAAAAGGACATACGATGAGTTTATACTTTGGGTGCTACTGTTTACATTTGTGTCTTGCAAGTTTTGATTAAGCTATACAGTCCCGTGTACAGAGTGTGGTTCAATCTAATGGCTTTGTGTATAAAACTGTCCTTTGCAAACTACTAAAGGTATTAAGAAACTACCGTGCAACAAAGAATCCTGAATTTAAAATATCGTATTTGTAACCACCTTCAAACTGATGATAACTTGTTTATCAGGCATTGACTAGCATTTGCATTATTATGTCATTCCACGAGTCAATTGGTCCTGGCAAACACCAATGTAGACAATCATTCTGAACTTTAGCATTCTTATCTTTTGCAAATGGCTGAAACTTCCTGTAAGGTCCAGGATGTCCATCTGGTCTCAGCAATGAAAGGAGAGTTGTGTCCAAAAGTTGCAAGTTCACCCTTTGAGATCCTAGGGAAGCAGCCTTCTCAAACTCTTCAAGTTCAATGCCTCTCATGATGGAATCCACATCTATCATATGAATCTGACCCTCTTTGAAGGGTACAGTTCTATTGCAATACCCTCCACTAAACCACTCCCCATTCTCAAAGTGGTCAGGTGTGGTGGTTCTAAAGAGAACAGTGGCTTTGTGATTAGAGTTTGCGAAGAATTTGAAAATTTCTTGGAGTACTCTGCGGTATGCATAGTCAAATCCTAGTTCTGTTAAGTTCTTTCCAGGGCAGTAGTGGCAGCCGGTGACTGTTCTGTTTTCATGGTATATTGCAGTCTTGAGAAACCATTTTCCACCACCAATGACAACATAGTCAAAGTTCTCATATTGGTTGGTCCACTGGTCTAGAGTGTCAAGATAAAGCTGTATCTCTGCCGAGGTCACTCCATTCATGTCCTCAAATATAGCTGCTTTAACAAGGAAAGGGGTCCAGATTACTGAGAGTGTGAAGTTGTGAGAGCGAAATTTCCATATCTTTGATCTATATTCCTTGTCATGGTAGATCTCAACAGCTGGTTCCACCTGCAGAATAAAATAATTGGAATTTGATTTAATAGCCCAATTTGTTGGACCCAATAAGCAGACACTGCACGATACCACAAATAGACTGCTAGGTAGTTTGTATGGACAAAGCTAATGGCAGTAATGAATACAACACATACCAATTTGTACAAGATGCAGTTGAAATAGTAAAATCAATTAGACAGAGCTATCATGAGTTCTGGCAAATACAAAGTGAGAAAGATCCAATGCAATAGGTAAGTTAGTGATGGATACATCTTATTTTACCTACTACACGCTGTAAGTGTTATAATCATAGGAAGTAAAATCTCAACATTTTCAAACTAAAATCATTCAAAGCTGTTCTTGAAGGTTTGGTATACGGTGTACGTAGACAAGTGTTACCCTGTCCAAGGTAGGTAAAGCTGCTTGGGAAAAGACACTATTTACTGCTTGTGTCTTGAAGGGGACCAATCGTATAATACAAGCAACATTTGCCATACACAAATGGACTCAACAATTTTGTTTCTGTTGAACCTTAGTGCTCGTAAATCATAAAGTGAAAACAACTAATATTTTATTGATGTTGCCATAATTCATGATCGATGGACAAGACACTCCATACAACAGAACTACTTAGTTAGTATCAAGGAATCACATGGCTTCATTTTACGTGGCCTGATTTTGACCATGATTCTTGGCGATGGTCAAGAAGTCTATTCTATAAACAATGAAGGCGCAACTACAGAACTACGTAGTTAATGTATAAAAAACAATCACATTGCTTCATTTTAAATTATTGGAATCTTGGCCTTTACTAAATATGAAAACAGAAAAAATGCAAAAAAGAAAGTGGGCAATAAAAATGAGTTTGATTGGCACAGAAAAAAATGTGAGAAAAGAGAAATAAAAAATTGTGCAGTCCATTAATTATAATTCTTTTCTTATTCTTTGATATTTATCTTAAATCATATACTTTTATTTTTATTCTATTTTTACTTCCATTATTTTTCCTATTTACATTCATATTATTTCCCACCAAGCTCTTTCTTTCCCAAAAAATGGACCCTAATTTCTTAAAACTTGGCAAGCAAAAGAAAGTCAACTAAAGCACATGTACACCTACTGAATACTAATCAAGATTCAAGGGAAAGAAATCCTTCAAGCCAAAAGTCTAATGATATGAAATTTGCAAACTGGTTAACTGATGTAAATTCACAATACCTTTGAGAGAATGCAAAGTAGGGATTGAACATGGTTACGGGAGATGGAATCACCAATGAAGGCCAATGATTTATTTCTCATGAGCTTAAGAAACTTCTTGGGATTGAACTTGGGCAATTCACAGTCTCTTGGACTCCACCTCCAGTAAAGGTACCCTGAATCAGGACGTCCATTCTTCATACAATTTTGATGAGGCTCAATCACACGGCAGCTCTCATTAGTGTACACTGGCCCAGATAGGTCTGGCACCCATTCTCCCACAAAAAGATCACATTTTTCTGCAGTTGACATTTACAATGCACATTACCATTGGCATTACAAGCTAGACACCAACATAAGCACTTCACATTACTCAAAATTTAATCTAGATTGTGCTTACTTAGTTAAGATAAAGAAGAACTAGTTGTTTTACATGATTTGGCATTAGAACTGTTCATATAAATAAAATCCCCACCATTATTCCAATTGCAGGGAAGTAACCAAGAAGCAAGGTTTTAAATTGTTGTTGCCATTACATTTTGTGTCACAATTGTTTTTGTGACACAAACTCCACAATTGTGACTCTGATTGTTGATATTGTACGAAATTGTGGATGAATGCTGCCACAATTGTGATCATAGAAACCCCACAATTGTAGTGAGGGAATTAGAAAATCTGTGATATTGTTGCCAGAAAGGAAAGTAGGAACAAGTTACATTAGTTTAACTTTTGTTTCCACACTCATTTGGAGACTTGATGAAGAGACCACTAGTTCTCAAAATGCACAAATAAAGAAAGCCTTCGTGGGTGGACGGTACATTCCATGACACCCCCACCAACTGAAACAAAAAACATGGAATGCCAAAAGATATAAATACTCCCAAGCAACTGAAATGAGAGGAAAGAAGCAGAAATGGGTCCTTACTCCTTAGATTTCTTTTTTCCATGGAAAAAATTTTCAGGTTTAAAAAACTCCAACATTTCTTTCCCGTCCACTTCATTCTTTGTCACATGACAAAGAAAAAAAAAATTTACTCAACGCAAAATAAGTAAATTCTCTTACCGTCTTTAGAGATTTGAGTCTGATTCTGATTCTGATTCTGATTACTTCCTGGAAAGTCATCAGAATCAGAAGCCTGAATATCAGAAGATAAAACAGGGGACTCTGCTTTTGCATCTTCCAGAGGAGATGTCTCCACCACTGACGAGAAACTGAATGAATCCCACAAGAGAAGGCGAACAGCGAGACCCACCAAGAAAATTGAGACTCCTAACTTGACACACACATGGTTGTGCTTTTGCAGGGACAATGGTCCCGAATCATACCTCACTCTCTTCACCATCTTGTATCAGAAGCAAAGATGAAACCACAACCACAAGCAACTTTGCTACTTTCTCATCAAACGATGCTGCTGAGTAATTATTATAGGGAAATGGAAGCAAGTTATTATATTGAATAAAGGAACCTGTTTTCTGCATACTCCTTCTTGGGATAATAACGTATGCTGATGCAAAAATACATTACGTGACATGTACCATGTGACAGCCATAAATGGTGAAAATAAAACCAAAATAGACAATATCATTTAAATATATATATATATATATATATATATATATATATATATATATATATATATATATATATAATAACATTGCCCGATGAGAAACATGTTCGGAGTGTAAGTCCCAAGTGATTAGAGCATTTCCTTTGATAGAGAAGAATGTGTGTCATTTGGTCTCACTGTCTCACAGAATGCTCATCTTTTAATCCATCTGCATGCACGTGTGATGTTCCAAGATTTTTACCTTAGAACAATGATTTGGTGAATTTTGCTTTGTACTTTTGGTAAATTCATGCATATATTTTGTAACTATGGTTTATTGGACTTGTACATGTAACTCACTCTCTCTCTCATGCACAGCATAATGGAAAGATAACAGTACTTTGATGTTGTGGGCTACCAACTTTGCTTTTATTTCTTTGGATGAAACACGCTGCATGTCTTTAGTTGAGTAACATCAAAGTCATTGACTGTGCATATGATTGATTTTTTTTGCTTTTGAAAGAATTGAGTTGGATTCCATAAATTCACTAAAACTAAGATATATCTTAATACTTAAATATTGTTACAATAAGATTTAATGATTCTCTCATAATCAAACACTAACATGTGCTCATAGAACATGCTTTTCAATGCATTTCATGAATCAATTTAGAACCATCAGATTGTTCATATATATCAGTACAGACCATATTCTTGCTAACATATATGATTGATGAAATCACCAAGTTTATCATGCTTTAAAACCTTTTTAACTTTTCAAGTTTGACAGTTTCTGTGCTATTACATAAATGGACACTTCCTGTGCAGAGATTTTACTTTTTTTTTTGTGGTTATAAACTCTGTATACAGATTCATCAATATTTTGGGATTATTTGGATATCGGTGCTAATGACAACTAGAATTTTTTTCCCCCTTTAATGGTTTACTTTAAAAAAAATCCATATAATGATTCCTTGAACCTGATTAAAACAATATGATAAGAAACGGTTACCTACTTTTAATGAATGTTAATAAACAAGGACAGTTGGAGTGAAGAAGTAGTTTGCCAATTTATTTAAGATCGATGCATAAGATCTAAATAATCATTAAAATAGTAGTTGTTAAGCTTATTTGGTTGACTTTTTTAATTGAACAAACCATTTCAATATTCATTAGACCCTTATCAATGAAAAAAGTTATCAAAATATACTCCTCAACAGCTAGTTCTTATAAATCATCACTGTCTATGATAAACCTTATAGCATCAATTAAGGTTTTGGTTTATGATAGAAATTTGGCAACTACATAAGGCCAAGACTAGATACACTTGTGTTCAGGATTCTTCAAACAACAAACATTTTTCTTAGAACAACCCTAACAAAACTGAAAATTACTACACACCTGTGGTCAGAAATAATAAAAAAAAAAAATTGAAGGTGTCAAGCTCCAAGTTACAGAATGAAGTTTTTGGATGTTAGCATTTGAAGAGTTTGGTATGATATGATGAACATTTATGGTGTGCATTTAGTTGAGCACCTTTGTAGGGACCAATGTCCCTTGCCTTATCTTGTATAATTGAGAGGATAATAGAGTTCTCATGATCCTTCACAAGGATCCTATCTCAGTTCACATTTATTTTCTCCTGATCTGTCCTGCACTGCTTAAACAAAGAAACCCCTTAAAGATTGAAGCTAGCTCACACATCTTTTCTTACAGTATTTTTGTTAAATTTTTTTAATGTTCTAAAAAATATAAGCTTTTGGTAACGCGATTTTTTTGCTCTCCTAAAGTGTATATGATTTTTGTGTGTGTCTGAATATATATAAGATTTAAGTGGTTAATACTATGATAGGGATGTCTCATCCTGTCATCCATGTTACATATCGAATTACTATTAAGAAAATAATATATTCAGAACTAAGTAAGTTAGTTTGCAAAAAGGGTTTGAAGCTTGGGAATAATTAGAAGTTGGGTGAGGAATCCTTCTCCAACACTTTAAGGCTCCATAGTCATGAAACACACCAAGGCCTAACATGGTGTCCAATGTGCCTTGTGGGCTAATTATTCTATCTACAGGTGCAAGTGCTAGGCCCACCAAAATCAGTGACAAGCTTGTCTTGGTGCCTTTGTTGTGTACCCTCATTTCTCAATCATTTGTTAGGCAAAGGAGAACTTCAAGAATTTTGCACCACTCAACTCTTGGTCCTACAAGGGAACCACCTACCACCTCAATTTTGTTTGTAATCGTTTCTATTTTTTCTTATTTTACAAAATTGAAGGATAATTTATATATATATATATATATATATATATATATATATATATATGTTTAATTATAATCAGAACTTCATTTTCTTTTTCCATTCTTCTTCTTACATATCTTCAAAATAGACGATTAAGTACACATGTATCTTTTAATAATAAAAAAAAAATTGTTACTTTTGGAGACACATTATGTGTGCCAATACTACTCAACTTTAATATATTAAAGTGGATAGTTTATTTGAATACTATCTAATTAAGTATGATTGGAGAAGAGGTAAATTCTAAATTATAAATTATGGATATCATTTTATAAAAAATCTTGATGATAATGTTTTTGAACAATTTAATCAGGCGAACATAAATCAATTACTCTGTCTAATAAGCATTTTAAAGTTTTTGGCCTGTGGTTCTCGATATCGATACACGTGAGGAGATACTTGCAAAATACTCCAACACTCAAATCGATTATAATATGATATGTTGACAAGTTTTTGTGGATTAATTACCTTACCATTTTTATAAATTTTATAAAATATTTATATAACTATGATTGAGGGTTTCTTAAGATGGGACTATATTTATAATTCACCATGCAAACTCTCTGACATAAAAAAAAGAAAAAAAAAAAGAATAATAGCTTGTAGCTTATAGGACCACAAGCATGAAGAAGTGTGTAGATGAATGATAGTTAACAGATTTGAAAGGTGAGTGAAGGAAAAAGGAAATACATACATAATTTGAGTGTGGCTTTGATCACAGCTACACAGGCTGCACTTCTTTAATGTTGAATCAATCAATGATCCAACTGGTGGTTACAGGTAGTTATGAGTAACACTTCTTGTGGGGCTAAAACATTTTCATGTAATTAAAATGTACTTCCTTTGTTATGAAGTAGCTAAAGAATATGGAGTACATTGACTAATTTATCAATTTAATCAGTGTTTATACATGTGAGTTTTCTTAATATATCCCCGTTTTATGTTTTTATTTTAACCTTTTTTTAATATTTTTTTAGAATGCTATATTTTCCGAAATTTACAATTTTCAGTTTTGAAAACTATTGTTTTTCAGAAAAATGAAACACAGATTGTCTTTATGCCTTGATATATTTTTTATGTTGTTTTTCGTAGGAAAATCTGACAAAAAAAATATATCATAAAATTTAGAAGTTGTAAGAATATGAATTTTTGTGACCTATATAACACTTACATCACATACAATTCTTTCAAATCATTGTAGGTTGATTAGTAAATTGTTCATACCAAGGGGAACTAAATTGTTATGATCTTTCAAATCATTGTAAGTCACATTTTTTGTCTAATTTATTTCTAAAAAAGAAAAATTTTCGAAATTAAAAGTGTAAAAAGTAAATATAAAATAGAGATATATTAGTCAATCTTAAAGTTTAAATAAATAGTCATTCATCATTCATAACCGTCCAAAGTAAACTTGAAGAACCGAAATCAAGTAAAACTATATTTATTATGTTTAACAATTTAAAAACGCAGTTTCATGCTCCAATTTTTTATTTTTTTCAAAAGTATTTGTGATAGAATCTAGTGTTGACAATTTGTTTTTACTTGTTATTGCGGCTGATTAAAATACAGCTACTATTTTGTCAAAACAAAAGAACAAGTACTAAGGTTTGTCAAAGAATATTTGATTACGTGCCAATTGATCAATAAATATATTAAATTGTTTTCCACATCAGATTCTAGACCACAAGCAAGATTGTGTGAACACAAAATTGTTTATGCTCTTTTTTCGGCAAACCATATAAGAATGACAAAATTTTTAGTGCAAGAATAACAAATTTACACATCATAAGATTATAGGAACAAAATATGAAAAGATTTCAAAATTTTCCCGTGACCTGATCCGAAACAATGTTTCCAAATTTGTTGAAGGGTGGAACAAAGATTTTCACATATCTCAGCAGAAGTTTTATTTATGCAGCTGCTCTTGGTGCTTTCATGCCAAATCCACGCCTTTCTTTCTCCACTCTGTCAAATTGTCAAGACAAAGGGTTAGCAACTATCCTAACTTCTGGTTCTTAAAGATTCAGATTAGTAAATTATGTAATGGGAAGAATAAAAGTTGTGTAGCAAATGCAAGGATCATTTTTGTTGGAGGGGTAAAAGTAACAACTGAAACAAGACAATCATAGGCTTAAGACAAATTTAAGGAAAGAGAAAAACACACATTGTTTAACCCTCACACAAAACATCTGTTGAATCATCAAATTGGTATCCTGAATTGGAATTACAAGTACTGGATTGATTGATCATTTCGTGATTAAACATGTATTAAGAAATTAATCCTACAACACTTGTTCCAGAAAACACAACTTTTCAGCACTATTTTTTCATTTCCACTTGAAATCTTCAACAAATAGAGCAGTGGGAACAACAACCTCAGTATATTCTCCTCTTATAGAACAACAGAATAATCAAAAGCACTTGTGGTTACTTGCTAACAATCATGCACCCGCATCCCAGATAAATTCATATTGATTTGCATTGTTTGCTTTCTATGCCAATCAAAATATCTAAGCGACAAACGGTATGAGAAAAATTCCTTCTGATCTATAGGTTCAAGATGACATAATATGGCCAGTATGCATTTTACTTTCTCCAAGTAATAAATAGAAACACAAGGGCATTATAACAAAAGAGTTGGTCAATCATCAGACAAATGGAACAAAACCATCAGAAACTCGGCACTTACGTTGGTGCAAGTTTACCAAGGCTGTCCAGCTCTTCTCCTGTGTCTTCATCCCGAATCCTCCCAGAAATTTCAACTATATAAGACCTATTGCTATCGCGAGGAAGTCCTCTACGAGAAAGCAAATCTAAATCTTTTTGGTGAAGTTCCCTACCATTTACAAAAATACCAGTATTTCCACCAGCACATTTTTCTGGCATGGGAAACTGGAACTCTTCTATGAATGGCTGCAAGAGAAACTAAGATATTCATTTATACTGATCAGAGTATAAGCTTGTGAGATTGTAGTGTGCCAGAATAGTATAACTTACCAAAATTATTCCAAGACATGGTCCACCCATGACACCCCAAAATCCAGCCTGAGAATCATACCTGAGGACGCAAAATTGTAAGCAAATCAATTACTACAATGCCAATGCACAAGCAATCAGTATAAAATTTCCGGCTTTCATTCTAATGGGAGATAACTCTTCCCAAAATGATATGTAAAAGACATGTGAAACTATCCAAATTTAATGTTATCCTGTCAAATGAAACAGTATAGATGATAAGCACTTAACCGAGTCTACTACATTAATTAATGTGACAAAATTTTATCAAACAGGAAAGTTTAGAAAACTTTGGTCCATATGTAAGCAAAGAAAGAACCCATTTTCAAAAGCTTAACTGATTTTGAACCCCCTCCTCACAGTTTGTTTAAAAAAATAATTTTGTTCCTTAATAAAATTCTCTTCATTTGAGTCTTTTGATATATGCCATAATGTCAGCATAACATAGTTGACTTTAAAGCATACTTACCAGTAATTTCCTGGCTGGATTGTTCCAGCGAGCTTTTCAGCCTTTTTAATCACTCGTTCTGGTAATGGCTGTCCGTTTACAGTAACATTACATTTGACATTATCTTTCTTAATAATGTTTTCAAATAATGAATCGACCCTTTTGTTAGATCTGGGAAGATCATGTTCTCTGCTTGCATCACCAGAATCCTGAGAAACCCCAGTGTTAGAATAATCAATGACATCCATCTCAGTTGCAAGCACTACCTCTTTCAAAGAATTTTGCCTTGAGGCATTCTTTTCTATCTTTTCCATCTCTTGATCTGAGCGACCACTTTGGTTTCCTTTCCCTGATCGATTTACCGCATGGTTACTTAATGAACCACCAGGTGGAGGAGATAGAGAGGCTTTAGATGGCTGATGAATGGACTTGGTAGCTTCACTTGGTACAGTCATAATTTCTGGACTATTTTCATCATCAGAAATACTGGGAGATGAAGAGTGGAAACTTTGCGTCTCTCTCGCCTTCAAGGTTGAGTCTGCAGCCAGCGCAGAAGATTCTCTATCAACTGAGTGAAAATCATAACCAGAATAATCATCAGATGAGAAGTTTGCAGCTTTCGCGTCCACATCACCACGGGAATGGAATACACGTCTATTCACAACCTCACTAGTGGCATCTTCAATCCTTGTGGATGTGGTAGTTTTCTCCATTTCAGAATGAGGAGAAATTACTAGCTTCTTATTGATGACAGCAAATTTTATTTCTGAAGAACAAGCTCCACATCGCATTTTCTGCTTACGATTCTTAACCATGATCTTTTTAGGCAGTTGCAGTAACTCAAAGCAATTATGACATGTGATGAAAGGAGAACCACCAGCTATAGGAAGGCATTGCCGAGTACCACTCACAGGCCCTACTTTTGGAGGATGCCTTCCAAGAAATCCACCCATCTCAGAATTGTAGTCTCTAGGCCATCTTGTACGTAGTTGTCTTTCATGTAAACTCGTGGCAGGAATGGCAGCTCTAGAATTATGAACATGAGGACCAACCGCCCCTGGAATCTCATGGCGGTACAGCATAGGATCATTTGGGTTATGAGGCAATCTGCTGTTAACAAATGCAGCAGATGGCACTGGCACTGAACCTCTTCTTTTCTTGTCATAGCAATGAAAACAAGAGCAAGAATGTGGGTGAAGCATAGCACTATGTACATATGGATCATATGAATCTGGACCAGTATCAGGATAGCGCCCAGGAAAGTAGGGATGCATTGGTTTTTGTGGGAACTGGTGGGGTAAAGGATGTGAATCTCTCATCATTGGGGCTACAAAAGGATCCCCATATCCAGGAACATAATTTGGATTATGCATGGAAGGGTGAAAGTTGCGCATAGCCATTTCAGGACCTGCCGGATAAGCATATGGATCAAGATGATAATTGAAATAAGGGGGGCCTGCCATTTGTTTATTAGGGCCAAAGAATTGTCTTGAGGTCCTGTTCATACCCGATGATCCATATCCATCTGGAAACCAAGTTTCAGGACCACTGTAAGGATCTGGAGGAACCATTTTTGCATCAGCAAGAACCTTTTCTTTGGGGTTACTAACCACCTCAGAAGACTTGTTCAATTGGTTGGTTAACTCATCCAGCTTCCTTAGAATATCGGCTCGATCTTGCTCAAGATGCTGAACCCTATTCACACCATCCATGTCCTTGAAATTCCTCCACTGTTCCCCATAATTGTAAGAAAAACTGGAATAGCTATTTGAAGATCCCTCATCAGGATAACTAAAAGTGGGAAATCTGACACCCTCCATATCAGCTTGAGGCTTTCTCCGAAACCCCTCCATCTCTCCACTCTCCCAATAAGGCCAATTAGACACTCTCCCATAGAATTGGTCCCCTCCCATGTGAGACTTCTGCTCCTGCTGCTCTCTTCCAATTGACTTACCCCCTTTGTCCTTCTTATTGGCAAAACCATTCTCCCAAACCCCTTTCTCATCCCCATCCTTGGAATCATCCAAAAACTTCTCATGTCCTTTATTTGGTTTCCCCAAATCCCTTCTTCGACCCTCCGTTGAGAAACCACCATTGGACCTAATATCAACATCTGAATTATCAATCAAATCAACTACCCCTTTACCCAAAACACTTTCTGATTTAGCATGATCCCCTCCACCTTGCTCATCTGACGCTTCCCACAACCTACTACCTTCAGAACTTTTAAGCTTTCCTACAAAGGAAAACAAAGCAGAAAACACAATAAAAATCAGAATATCCAACCCTTTTTTCATGCCTTTCACCTTCACACACACAAAAAAAAAAAAAAAAAAAAATCCTAATTTAATACAAACAAGAAACTCCAAAGCACATTAAATCAAACAAATCACACCCTATGCTAAATTTAAGAAAGGGTAC